AGTAATAATAAAAAATCTCTAAACAAAAAACAAAAGCTTTTTTTTATTCTATTGTAACATTTAAAGAATAAATCATACCAATCTTTTGTTTTCAAAAAGTTAAAGAGGACGGAACATTTTCTAACTCATTCTGAGAGGCCGGCATTACCCTGACACCAAAGCCAGGCAAGCACAGTGCAAGAAAACTACAGACCAACATCCCTTATGCAAAATCCTCCACAAAATACTAACAAACCAAATACAACAGCATATTGAAAGCGTTATATATCATGACCAAGAAACGATTGTTTCATTTGATGCAGAAAAAGCATTTACAAAAGTCAGCACCCTTTCATGATAAAAACACTCAACAAACTAGAAAAAGAAGGAAACTAAATAAAAACCATTTGTGAAAAAGTCATAGTGAATAGTCAATGGAGAAAGTGTTTGCTCTAAAATCAGGAATAAGGCAAGGATGCCCACTTTTGCCACTTCTATGCAACATAATACTGGAAGTTCTAGAAGAAAGAAGTAAAAGGCATACTAATTGGAGAGGATGAAATAAAAATATGTCTTATGTCTTCACAGATAATTGGATCTGATATGTAGAAAACTCTCAAGATTCCACACACAGAAATTGTTAGAACTAATAAATGAATTCAGCAAAGTAGTAGGATACAAAGTTAACAGGCAAAAACCAGTTGCATTTCTATACATTAACAATGAACCTGAAAAGGAAATTAATAAAACAATTTCAGCCCTAGCTGGTTTGGCTCAGTGGATAGAGCATCGGCCTGCAGACTGAAGGGTTCCAGGTTCGATTCTGGCCAAGGGCACATGCCCGGGTTGCGGGCTTGATCCCCAGTGTGGGACATGCAGGAGGCAGCCGATCAATGATTCTCTCATCATTGATGTTTTTATCTCTCTCCCTTCCTTTCTGAAATCAATAAAAAAAATTCCTTTACAGTGGCATAAATACAATAATAAAATATTTAGAAATTAACCAAGGAAGTTAATCCAAAGATTATGACTGTCCAATAAGAATATGAAAAGATGCCCACCAGACAGACTGGATGGAGCACTGCATAGAGTCCTCACAAAGATATTGGTTCTGTAATGGGGCCAAAACAGCAGCCCTAGGTAAAGACTGTTTTGGACCTAACAGCTTAAAAGCAAGCTTCTAAAGCAGCAGTGTCCAATAGAACTGTTTTTAATGGTTATACAATATAGTAGCCAGTAGCTGGGTGTGTACATTTGAAATGTACATAATACAAACGAGGAACTAAAGTTTAACTTTTACTTAATTTTATTAACATAAATTCAAATAGGCATTTGTAGCTAGTGGTCCCTATTTTTGACAGGGCAGCTCTAAAGGATCAAACTGTTTCCAAGTAAACTTAGCATCTCAGAACAAAGCCTAAATATACTTAAACACAAAAACCTCCAGCACCTAACAATGTAAAATCTGCAATGTCTGGTACGCAATAAAAACTTATAAGCTATGGAAACAAGCATAAAATATGAATGATAAATAGAAGAATTAGTTGACAGAAGCATACCTAGGAATGACACAAATGATAGAATTAGTATGCAAGGACCTTGACAGCTATATATATTCCATATATAACCTTGACAGTTAATATATATTCCACATTTCCAAGAAGGTAGAGCAAAGCGTGAGCATGGTGAGGTAAGAAATGGAAGTTACTAAATGAAAATACACTTGATGTGAAAAAAAATCCCACGTGGATGGGATTAACACCACCAAAGGAGAATAGTGAACTTGAATATATATCATAGAAACTATCTAATTAAAAAATAATACACAGAGCACCAAGCAGCTTAACATATGTGCAATTGGAGCCTCCATTTTTTTTTTATTTTTTAGGCAACCAGGGGTCGGAACAAAAAAAAGGCAACATATCAATTTTTCTTAGTAAAGTTTATGAAATGATAGAGAAACTAAGGGAATAGGAAACTCAGACCTTAGCACTTCAGTCAGAAGGAAGAGCGCAGAGGTACTATGAAAGGGTTAATTGGGGCAGGTTGCAGCACTGACCACTCTGGCTTTTCATTGAGGGAAGAACATTTTTACTTTCTTGGGCTGGGAAAGAAATGATTAGTCCTTAATATTTCTTTTAAAGGAAAATCTTCACATCCTGGTTTGACACAAAGTGATCTTTTCTCTACATTATTTCCTTAATTAGGTATAATTATATTTCAGAGGAAATGTACCTCTTGGGACCTCTGACTTCTTCATCTAAAACAGCAGCAACACTCAATTTAATTTTTTAGTATCTTGCTATACTTACAAAGTATACGATATAGCAAAATAAATGCTACAAAATATGAGAAAATGTAACAGCACGCATAATGATGAAAAGAGCCAGAGCAGAGAATGGAAAAACACATGGCACTTATATTTAAATGTACTTCTATGAAGAAATTTGTTTTAACATAAAATTTGTTTATGCTCTGCAATAATTTATATTGGACTGAAATGAGTACTTACCCGGCAAAAAAAAAAACCAAACCAGGAACTGCTAGTCTCTTCAAATGTGAGGTTACTTTTGAAATACACAGGCGAATACTAAACCAAGATAATCAGAGCACAGCTTTAAAAACCTAGTTATCTATTCCATCTGTGGAAAAGACAGGGAGATAAAGCCACCATTAAAGTTCAGAAACCTGCGGGTTATTTGAGAAAGGTGGGACATATTAAACATCAAGGAACATAAAGACTTGTTTTTTTTTTTCAAGCTGGGCTCCCGATTCAACCCTGCCTGGACCGTGCCAGGCTGACCGGGGCCGCGGGTCTGCAGGGCTCCCCAGGCTGCAGGCCAGCGGTGCTCACCCAACAGGCCGGCCCTTTCCCTGGTGCCGCTGCAGGACCGGACCTGGGAGAGGACCCGACCTGGGAGGCTCCCCGAAACCATCCACTGTGGCAGGAGCGCGCTAACCTCCCGGCGCCCAAGAGCAGCTCTGGGGAGTAACGAGTTCACGGAACGTGGGTCCCCAACGGTGCTTGATCTCCGGGAAAAGCGGCTCAGAGCCTTCGCATCAAAGAAGCAGGTGTTCCAGAGCTTTGGGAAGGTGGCGGAAGGACGCTCAGGCCTGCGCATGCGCGTCCCTTCCAGCGCGGTGGCCGCAGCAGGTACAGTATTAACTCTGAGTGCCAACCAATATCCTAGGAACTATGCTAAAATTGCCAAGGCATTTTTGCTGATCTTACAGCAGTTTAACAACAAAAAAAATATGAATCGCAAGTAAATGAAGTTACATATTCAATTTTAGAGCTGCAAACATTCGGCATCATGAGTAATCTGCACTTAGGTGCCATCTGTCAATAAAGAGCGAACTACTAGCTTCTAATAGTGACACTGCAGGAGGAGCGATAGCGCTCCCGGCACTTTTGGCGAAAGACAGGAGGAGCGCGATCGCGCGCCCCGGCACTCTAGGGGTTAAGAACTAAGTGGTGGGAAAGGGGTGGCGGCTAGTTACTAGGAGACGGGACGCTGGGTCGGGGGGAGGGGCGTGGTGGAGGGAGACATAGAGGCTCCTCCGGGGCGTGAGCCTGAGCGGCCTGGCTGGACCGGGGAAGGCGTTGCCTAGGGACCTGTGAGGACTGGAAAGTGGGTCCACGCGGGGCTAGGTGCGTGGGTGCGCGCGCAGGCCTCGCAGTCCCACGAGAGGGCGGGCGGAGGAAATGTCATTCTTAACAGATAGTTATTATCTTTATAACAAGCCTCCAAATATCTATAGATAATTTATTAGAAATTATACAATTTAGCAAGGTGTTTGAATATAGCGACAGCATAGATGTGGGAAGGGCGGGAGAGGGGCGGAGGATGGAGGTGGGTGGCATCTGGGTCCCAGGCGGAGGTGGAGCTCCGAGGAGGGTGGCTGGCTGAGCACCGCGAGGGTGCGTTTGGAGCTCCAGGTAGCAGCCGGGTGATGCGCCCGGTCGGTCGGCGTCCAGCAGCTTCTGAGCGGAAGGCCCCCGAGAGGGCAGCTGCCAGAGAGAGTGTGTGTGTGGCGGGGGTCGGGAGCTGAGGGTGACCCCGAGGCAGGTAGTCACTGCTGCAGCGGCGGTGGGGGCGGTTGCAGGCGGAGTTGGGGTCCGGGGCAGCCCTCCGGAAGCAAACTGCTCCTGTTGCCCTTTCGTAGGGGTTTAGGCTTGAGCCCGGCTGCTATGGTGACCGCTACGCTTCTTGCAGAAGCTCTCGGCTTGGATGTCGGGGTGGAGGGTGATAGACCGGGAACTGTGCGGTTTAGAAACATTCGGGAGTGGAGCTGAGGAATTTGCAAGTCAGATCTGTGAGTTCAGCCTGGCTTATCCTGACTCCCACAAGACCTTGGGAGTTAGAGCCGAGATTACAAAGGCATTTGCATGAAAATCTCATAATTTCAGTAGAAATTGTACACAGGAAAGGCAGGGTAAGCTGGCTTTTGTTGAAAAAATAGTTGAGACAAATGGACTAATGGAGGCGATCAAGGACCTGATACCTAAATACGTATAGGAACACCTTTTTCTCCTCCTCCTCCTTCTCCTCCTCCATCGCAGCTTCAGGAAAAGTTTTCAAAGATGACGGCGTCCAGGAGTTTTCCTTGTTCCATGCATGCCGTTATATCTCAGATTATTCGGTGTTTTAAATGTCCTCTACTGGCATTTCAACTACTGTGTGTGTGTGTGTGTGTGTGTGTGTGTGTGTGTGTGAAATTCCTGTAAGGAAATAAATAAAATAACATGCGGTTTTTAAGTAGAAGAAAATAGGTCAGTTATAATATATTATATAAAAGTGTCACACCATTCAAATCTGCCTCCAGGACAAAACTGATTTTTGTTTGCATTTTAATGAATGAACGAAATCAGTCTTAATTAGTGGGAGATAATTCAAAAGGCACATTAATGAAATATTTAATAAACTTTGCTGACCTTATTTAATGGCAGCTTCCCAGGTATATCTTATTTTATTTATGAAAAAAATCACCGCTTTAGTCCAGCTTATAATCAGTTGTAGAGATTTTCTGGACTCTCTTTTTATAGTTGCTTAGTACAGTTTTAGGTAACTTGCTTTTAAAGTACTCCAGATACAGAAGCAGTTAGAGCAGGTGTCACTTACTCCCTTTTCTCATCACACGCCCTTCTCCCCAGAGGTAGGCACTCTGACAGGCACTTCTTGATTTTCCTTATAGTTCTCCCCTCTTTGTATGTGAATATACACATTCTAGTTTGGCTTGCTTTTGAACTTTATATAAATGGAATTTTAGTAAGTATTTATTTGCATTGTGTTCCTTTATTCGACATTAAAAACAAAATTTATTAGGGAGCCATTGGTCAACATGAACATATAGGTTTCAGGCGTGGGTTTCTGTTACAAGATCTGTATATTGCACCATGTGCCCACTGTTAGAGTGGCTGAATTCTCCTGTCACCTGATATTAAGATCCCCCCCCTCACCCCCTTTCCAATGGGCAACTACCACACTGCTGTTTGTGTTCATGATTTTCAGTTTTATATCTTACATATGAATGAAATAATATGCTTCCTAGCTTTTTCTGACTGACTCATTTCACTTTGCATAATGTTCTCAGGGTCCAACCATGTTGTTGCAAATAGCACTATTTCTTCCTTTCTTATGGCTGAGTAGTATTCTATTGTATATATGTACCACATCTTCTTTATCCAGTCCTCCATTGCGGGGAGGGTACTCTTGCCAAGCCAGGCATCATGGGGCAGAAGAATGCCTAGCACCCACCACCCAAAGTCAGATCTTCTCCTGTCGGCGTATACTGGGACCTCCTTCTCCCTCCAGCGCCTTCCCTCCAGCAACCACCACACTGCTGTTCATGTTCACAAGTGTCCATTTTATATCCCACATATGAGTGAAGTCAGCTTTTTCTGACTTATTCATTTAGCATAATGTTCTCAAGGTCCATTTATGTTGTTGCAGCGCTCTATTCACTGAGCCAAACCGGTTTGGCAAGAATTATACATTTATTGTTAACATCTGCTAGCAGAAGAGCTGAGACCAAAATGGCATCAGTGGGGTAGGGTAGGGGGAGCAGGAATATTTATGTCTCTTGTAAAGGTCAGTCAGAGTAACCGGTCAGACCAGGTGCAGGTCAGGGTCAGGGGTAGGCAGGTAATTCACTGGAAATTGGGTGGGGTGGTTTACTGAAAACTGAAGGCTGTTAATCATGAAGCCTATAATGAGAATTGTTTCTCTTGCCAAGCCAGGCATCATGGGGCAGAAGAATGCCTAGCACCCACCACCCAAAGTCAGATCTTCTCCTGTCGGCGTATACTGGGACCTCCTTCTCCCTCCAGCGCCTTCCCTCCAGCAACCACCACACTGCTGTTCATGTTCACAAGTGTCCATTTTATATCCCACATATGAGTGAAGTCAGCTTTTTCTGACTTATTCATTTAGCATAATGTTCTCAAGGTCCATTTATGTTGTTGCAGCTGGTGCTACTTCATCCTTTCTTATGGCTGAGTAGCATTCCATTGTGTATATGCACCACATCTTTCTCCATTCCTCTATCGCAGACACTTTGGTTGTTTCCATGTCTTGGCTACAGTGAATAATACTGCAATGAACTTAAGGGTGCATATATCTTTGCGCATACATGATTTTGAGGTTTTCAGGTATATACCCAGGAGAGGAATTGCTGGGTCATATGGTAGCTCTATTCTCAATTTTTTGAGGAATCCCCAGACTGTTTTCGGTAGTGGTTGTACCAGTGTACATTCCCACCAGCAGTGAATGAGGGTTCCCTTTTCTCCACAACCTCTCCAGCACTTGTGAGTGCTTGTCTTATTGATAATGGCTAATCTAGCAGGTGTGAGGTGGTATCCATTGTAGTTTTGATTTGCATTTCCCTAATTGTCACTGAGGTTGAACATCTGTTTTTATATCTACTAGAGGCCCGGTGCACAGATTCGTGCACCAGTGAAGTTCTTTGGCCTGGCCTGTGGGGATCAGGCCAAAATGAGGTCTCCAGCATCCCTTGAGGGGTTCTGGATGGCAAGAGGGTGCAGGCCAGGCCGAGGGACCCCACTGGTGCACGATTGGGGCTGGGGAGGGACTATGGGAGTTTGGCCCCCCGGGGAGGGACCGCAGGAGGGCTCCAGGGCGTGTCTGGCCCATCTCGCCCAGTCCCAATCGGCCGGACCCCAGCAGCAAGCTAACCTACCGGTCAGAGCATCTGTCCCCTGGTGGTCAGTGCACGTCATAGTGACTGGTTGAACAGTTGAATGAACGGTCGGACACATAGCGTATTAGGCTTTTATTATATTGGATTGGCTTTTCATATGTCTTCTTGGGAGAGGTGTATATTTTTAGCTCCTCCTCCCATTTTTTGATTGGGGTGTTTGTTTGGTATTGAGTTTTATTAGTTCTTTATATATTTTGGAAATTAAACCTTTGTCAGAGCTACTATTTGCAAATATCATCTCCATCTGGTGGGGCTGCCTCTTTGTTTTGTTGTCAGTTTCTTTGGCTGTACAGAAGATTTTTAGTTTAATATAGTCCCATTCATTTATTTTTACCTTTACTTCCCTTGCTTTTGGGGTCAAGTTCATAAAATGTTCTCTATGACCAAGGTCCACAGGTTTGGTATTTATATTTTCTTCTCTGTAACTTATTATTTGGGTCTTATATTTAGGCCTTTGATGCATTTTGAATTAATTTTTGTACATGGAGACAAACTGTAATCTAGTTTCATTCGTTTGCATATGGCCTTCCAGTTTTCCTAGCACCACTTACTTATTTTTAATTTTTAAAAAATATTTTTATTGATTTCACAGAAAAATGGAGAGGGAGAGAGAGAAAATATCAGTGATGAGAGAGAATCAACCATTGGCTGCCTCCTGCATGCCCCACACTTCAACGCAGACATATGCCCCGACCTGGAATCAAACTGCAACCTCCTGGTTCATAGGTCAATGTTCAGCCATTGAGCTACATAAGCTGGGCGCCAGCACCATTTACTGAAGCAACTATTTTTACTCCATTGTGTGTCTGGCTAAATGAATATTGTATCTTATCAGATGCTTTTTCTGCATCTATTGATAAGATCATATGTTTTATATCCTTCCTTTTGTTAATGTGGTATATTACACTGATTAATCTGCACATGTTGAACCACTCTTGTGCCCCTGGAATGAAACCCACTTCTCCATAAATATTGTGTCAATTTACGCTGCCACCAGTGATATATAAGAATGCTAAGTACATCCAACTATTTTATCTTTGCCAATGTGATGGTTAAAAAATAGTATTCAGTGTTGTTTTAATTTGTATTCTTCTAAATGGTGAGATTGAATATTTTTAAATCTATTTAAAATCCATATATATGAAATATACATATTTTGCTGATTTTTCTACTAGGGTGTTTCTTTTCCTTTTTTATTTATAGGAATTATTTATATATTAGGGAAGTCAGCCCTTTGTGATATGGGTAGCAAACATTTTTGTTCATATCCCAAAGCAACAATAAATAGGTGGTGAACGGTGACCACATTGGAAAACACAGGCCTAGCGGTAGACTACTTAATTTGCTGCTGACCCAGTGTTTCCATAGTAGAGTGATTAACAAGAGGATGGGATCGGGCATGTATTTTTTTAAAGGCATGTTTAATATAGTTTTACATTTGAAAAACACAAAAAAAGTTTTATAACAAAATTTTAAGAAAGTAAAGCTTGCTGAAATCTGCTTTGCTGGTGTGACAAAGTTAAAAACAATTGAAAATGTATCTAAAAATGTTAATTTTCAAGACGTGAGAAATCACAAAGCTGTTTTTTATTATCATTATTATTTTTACATTAAAATATATTTTATTTATTTTAATCGCTATTGTTGAAAGTAATTCATGTTCCCCTTTCCTCCCTCTTCTAGACTGCCCTTGTCCCTCGCCCCAGGCCTTCCTTAACTGAATGCCTCAGTATTATGCCCATTCTTTCCACTAGGTTACCAACAAAGAACATGATTTTGGTCTAGGGACTCCAGTTTCTGAAACTGTAAAACACCAGAACACTCTCCACTTGAACAAGAAGTCAGAAATCAAGATACATTCATCTCTACACTGAAATTACAGGTTACATTTAATTTATATATGTATTTCTCAGAATTAATTTGGACTCGGGTGTATTTTAAATTAAGGAGATGGAGAATAAATGTTAATTCAGTGCTGGTTTTATGTTTTTTTTTATGGGTCTAAAATGATTTCATTTTTATCTTAACCATTTTGATACACAAATTAGAGTCAGTGAGTGCAAACTATGTGCCCAGTGTTATATTAAGTGCTTTCAACTACATAACCTTACTTCATCCCAGCCTTGTGAAACAGTGATGCTACTTCTATTTTTACAGACATGGAAGCTGAAGTTCCAAGAGGTTAAAGAATTATGATACTGGACTAATGAGTGATAGAGCTAGGATTCCTCTGAACTCCCCAGTCAGCTAGGATTTGAACCCAGTTCTCTGAACTGCAAGTTCGGTATTGCTTCTACTTTCCTGGTGCCTGGATCTGTGGTGTAGCTCTTAATACATG